AGCTTTAACGTCCACATCATAAAAATCTTTGAAAGAGTTCAAGAAGCAGGATAGCAACCACCTGGACTCCCAAAAATGCACAAACCCAGGGCAACATGGTTTCAGAGCAGGTCGCTCCTGCCTTTCGCAACTGCTTGACCACTATGATATGGTCCTAGATGCACTGGAAAAACAAACAAAATGCAGATGTAGTATAGCACAGACTTTGCAAAAGCCTTTGACAAGTGCGACCATGGTGTAATAGCACACAAAATGCGTGCCAAAGGGATAACCGGCAAAGTAGGCAGATGGATCTTCAACTTTTCTAACCAATCGCACACAAAGAGTAGTGGTAAACAGAGTTAAATCAGATGCTGCCATAGTGAAGAGCTCTGTCCCACAAGGCACAGTACTCGCACCTATCCTGTTCCTTATTCTCATATCAGACATAGACAGAGATGTAAACCACAGCGCTGTATCATCTTTTGCAGACGATACTAGGATCTGCACGAGAGTGTCATCCATTGAGGAAACGGCAAACCTCCAAGAAAATATAAAACCAAGTTTTCCAATGGGCAACGGAGAACAATATGATGTTCAATGAAGACAAATTCCAACTACTACTCCGTTATGGAAAACTGGAGGAAATAATAACTAGAACTGAGTATACTACAAACTCAAATCACACAATAGAGAGGAAAAGTAATGTGAGAGACATGGGAGTGGTAATGTCAGAGGATCTCACCTTCAAGGATCACAACGATGCCACTATCACATCTGCTAGGAAACTGATAGGATGGATAATGAGAACATTCAAGACAAGAGATGCTAAGCCAATGATGATCCTTTTTAAATCACTTATTCTTTCTAGGCTGGAATACTGCTGTACATTAACATCCCCATTCAAGGCAGGTGAAATTGCAGAGCTAGAGAATGTACAGAGAACCTTTACTACACGTATAAGTTCAATCAAACACCTTAAACTACTGGGAGCGCCTGGAAGCACTTGACTTGTACTCACTAGAGCGCAGGCGAGAGAGATATATCATAATCTACACCTGGAAGATTCTGGAGGGACTGGTCCTTAATATGCACACAAAAAATCACTCCATACAAAGCAAAAGACTTGGCAGGCGATGCAACATACCCCCAGTGAAAAGTAGGGGCGTCACTGGTACACTAAGAGAAAACACAGTAAGTGTCCGGGGCTCAAGACTGTTCAACAGCCTCCCACCAGCAATAAGGGGCATTACGGGAAGACCCCTGGTTGTCTTCAAGAGGGAGCTGGACAGATACTAAAGACGGTGCCGGATCAGCCGGGCTGTGGTTCGTACGTTGGATTACGTGCGGCCAGCAGTAACAGCCTCGTTGATCAGGCCCTGATCCACCGGGAGGCCTGGTCGTGGACTGGGCCGCGGGGACGTTGATCCCCGGAATTCCCTCCAGGTAGACTCCAGGTACCTATCTACCTACTGCCCTCTGGCGAGTGTTACAGTACTAGCAGAGTTGTGGGTGCCATAGGTCAGATTGCAGCTCCTGGACCCCGTTTTCAGCTTGCAACACTACTGGCACTCCTCCAGTGTTGCTTGCTGGTGATGTTAGTTGCTAGTTCCTAGGGTCTTCGTGCAGGTTGGATACTAGTTCCTGGGGTCTTCATGCAGGTTGGTTGCTAGTTCCTGGAGTCTTCCTGCAGGTTGGTTGCTAGTTCCTGGGGTCTTCCTCCCAGGTTGGTTGCTAGTTTCTGGGGTCTTCCTGCAGGTTGGTTGCTAATTCCTGGGGTCTTCCTGCAGGTTGGTTGCTAGTTTCTGGGGTCTTCCTGTAGGTTTGTTGCTAGTTCCTGGGGTCTTCCTGCAGGTTGGTTGCTAGTTCCTGGGGTCTTCCTGCAGGTTGGTTGCTAGTTCCTGGGGTCTTCCTGCAGGTTGGTTGCTAGTTCCTGGGGTCTTCCTGCAGGTTGGTTGCTAGTTTCAGGGGACTTCCTGTAGGTTGGTTGCTAGTTCCTGGGGTCTTCCTGCAGGTTGGTTGCTAGTTCATGGGGTCTTCCCGCAGGTTGGTTGTTTAGTTCCTGGTTTTCCTGCAGGTTGGTTGCTAGTTTCTGGGGTCTTCCTACAGGTTGGTTGCTAGTTCCTGGGGTCTTCCTGCAGGTTGGTTGCTAGTTTATAGGGTCTTCCTGCAGGTTGGTTGCTAGTTTCTGGGGTCTTCCTGCAAGTTGGTTGCTAGTTCCTGGGGTTTTCCTGCAGGTTGGTTGCTAGTTTCTGGGGTCTTCCTGCAGGTTGATTGCTAGTTCCTGGAGTCTTCCTGCAGGTTGGTTGCTAGTTCCTGGGATATTCCTGCAGGTTGATTGCTAGTTCCTGGGGTCTTCCTGCAGGTTGGTTGCTAGTTTCTGGGGTCTTCCTGCAGGTTGGTTGCTAGTTCCTGGGATCTTCATGCAGGTTGGTTGCTAATTCTTGGGGTCTTCCTGAAGGTTGGTTGCTAGTTTCTGGGGTCTTCCTGCAGGTTGGTTGCTAGTTCCTGGAGTCTTCCTGCAGGTTGGTTGCTAGTTCCTGGGATATTCCTGCAGGTTGATTGCTAGTTCCTGTGGTCTTCCTTCAGGTTGGTTGCTAGTTCCTGGGGTCTTCCTGCAGGTTGGTTGCTAGTTCCTGGGGTCTTCCTGCAGGTTGGTTGCTAGTTCCTGGGGTCTTCCTGCAGGTTGGTTGCTAGTTCCTGGGGTCTTCCTGAAGGTTGGTTGCTAGTTCCTCGGGTCTTCCTGCAGGTTGGTTGCTAGTTTCTGGGGTCTTCCTGCAGGTTGGTTGCTAGTTCCTGGGGTCTTCCTGCAGGTTGGTTGCTAGTTCCTGGGGTCTTCCTGAAGGTTGGTTGCTAGTGTTCCTGGGTCTTCCTGCAGGTTGGTTGCTAGTTCCTGGGTCTTCCTGCAGGTTGGTTGCTAGTTCCTGGGGTCTTCCTGAAGGTTGGTTGCTAGTTCCTGGGGTCTTCCTGCAGGTTGGTTGTTAGTTCCTGGGGTCTTCCTGCAGGTTGGTTGCTAGTTCCTGGGGTCTTCCTGCAGGTTGGTTGCTAGTTCCTGGGGTCTTCCTGAAGGTTGGTTGCTAGTTCCTGGGGTCTTCCTGCAGGTTGGTTGCTAGTTCCTAGGGTCTTCCTGCAGGTTGGTTGCTAGTTCCTGGGGTCTTCCTGCAGGTTGGTTGCTAGTTCCTGGGGTCTTCCTGAAGGTTGGTTGCTAGTTCCTGGGGTCTTCCTGCAGGTTGGTTGCTAGTTCCTGGGGTCTTCCTGCAGGTTGGTTGCTAGTTCCTGGGGTCTTCCTGCAGGTTGGTTGCTAGTTCCTAGGGTCTTCCTGCAGGTTGGTTGCTAGTTCCTGGGGTCTTCCTGAGGTTGGTTGCTAGTTCCTGGGGTCTTCCTGAAGGTTGGTTGCTAGTTCCTGGGGTCTTCCTGCAGGTTGGTTGCTACAAGAAGCACGCATATTTAGTAGACACAGTGTTGGACTCAGTGTTGAGTTGACGGAGTGTAGAACACTGTTGTGTCTATGATATCCAACATCCACTGTGTTGTATACAACACTGCCTGGCTCCCTCACTCACTCACTCACTCTCTCATTCACTCTCTCACTCGCTCACTCACTGGGAATGTACTCTCTGGTTCGGAGAGGATATAGGTCATTGTTTATATTTTGCAAATTCTTGAAGGTCACTGCAATAATAACCTCAAGTGTGTGTGTGTGTGTATGTGTGTGTCCTCACCTGTATGTTGTTGCAGTGGTCGAACCACAGCTCCCGTCAGTGCAACTGTCATAATTGTATACAGGCCCCCGACTAGACAACTTGATCAGGGAGGCTGTTGGTGCTCGCTGCAGTGCACTTCGATGTGCACGCATGCAGTGACACGGAAAATTCCTTCGTGAGGACATTTAGTGATCTCCAGTAAGACAGTAATAATGTCACACACACACACACACACACACACACACACACACAGTTATGATAAAGCTCACGGTTCAGGGAGAGTGACCTAGTATCGACCAGAGAAGAGGCGGTGCCAGGAGCTTGGACTCGACCCCTGCAACCTCAACTAGGTGAGTACACACACACACACATTATCCTGACCGGGAAGGACCAAACCGACGGAACACATCCTATAGAAAGGGTTAATAATAATAATAATAATAATAATAATAATATATAAAAATAATAATAATAATAATAATAATATAATAATAATAATAATAATAATAATAATAATAATAAAATAATAATAATAATAATAATTTTTATTATTATTATTATTATTATTATTATTATTATTTTATTATTATTATTATTATTTATTATTATTAAGGCAGGGTTAGAACAAGCCTGGTAGTCGCTAATATCGAAATTCTGGCTCTAACAATGCATTCGATTTGGGATAAAAAGTGTGGTCCAGTAGTTTGGCGTTTCACAGCGTGTATTTTCTTTTGTTAACTGGTGGATTTACGGTCTGATGCACACGTACATGTACACTTAACATTAGGTCTGATGCACACGTACATGTACATGATCACTAGGTCTGATACACACGTACATGTGCACATAGCACATGGTCCAATACACACGTACATGTGCACACAGCACAAGGTCTGATATACACGTACATGTACACACTTGACATTATGTTTACGCTAGTCTGTGGTCGACGATGTCCAGATGATTGTTTGTTTGTGTGTGTGTGTGTGTGTGTGTGTGTGTGTGTGTGTGTGTGTGTGTGTGTGTGTGTGTGTGTGTGTGTGTGTGTGTGTGTGTGTGTGCGTGTGTGTGTGTTTACTCACCTAACTGAGCTCACCTTATTGTATCTGCAGGTTTCGAGGCAGAGCTCCGGGCTCCGCTTCTCAATCCTGTCTGACGTGTTCCTCCTAGATGCTAACAGTATCACGTTAGGTAATATTCGTCAGGAAACACTTGGTCATCTGACCGAGGCCTTCCACTGGCTTACCCCTAAACCCCTTTGAAAACTATGGCTCTGATTATAACCAGTTTTTAAAGCAGTGTTATTTATCATTTCAGATGTGCTGGAGAGGGAGTGTGAGTGTTGCAGTGACGCCGCCCGCCCCACCGTCCTCATCAGAAACAATTTCCGAGGCTTCTGCAGTGAAATGCTGGGGTCGACGCGCCCTCACCTGCCCCCGGCTCGCCCACCCCCTCCTCGGGAGTGCAGTAGTCGTTCTCCTTCCCCGGAAAACCCAAGACGACCCACGCAGCTGGAGGAGGAGCTGCGCGCTGCTGGAGTCTACTTCAGGAGGCCAGGATCACCTCCCAGAGTTCCCATCAGGACCTACGCTGCAACGCGAAGTCACACACCTCCCAGAAATCCCCGCCTCAGCTAGAAACCACACTCAGACGAGGGCCTACACGCCCGTGAGGACCGCCCATGCGTCCAGTAGGAGCGAGGCGGAGGCAGTAGCGGCGGCTCTGGATGTTCTGGACTCGTCACTGGTAGGACTCAGCAGTTCCTCCAGTGAAAGTTCTCCAGCTCGCTCCCACGCCTCCAGTGTCGTGGAGCGACGCCTGTCTGGGCCAGACCCCACGCCTGCACACACGCCCACCTCTCTTCACACCCACGAGCACGCCCACGACGCGGCAGGGGCTCCTCAAGACTCCACTATCATCGGCAGAGGACACGACCATTTTACCAATTCTAATCATTACCGAGTCAGTCAGTGTCTCGCCCACGGTGCTGGAGTGGGCGGGCGGAGTCAGGAGAATGGGCGGCCGCTGGATAAGGAAGGTGGGCGGTCCCAGGAGGGGTGCCAGGATCTGCAACCCAAGGACGCCGTCATGGAGAGTCTTAATCTCATCGAGGAGGTGTACGTGGACGCACGCACCGTGCCCCACTCGTCCGTGTCCATGCACGCCTACTACCCTGGCGTGCAGTACTCACCCACCACGCCCTCACCGACGACCCCAATGAAACTGGGCAGGCACTCCTCTCTCAGCCCCACCCGCAGGGCCATAGGGCCTCCTACAGTGCCAGGGGATAGTGACAGTGGACACGAAAGTGGTGCCACTAGCCCCTGTGGCACTGGTGAAGATACCCAGTCACCACCCCCCTCCCCCCACACCTCCCACAGTGCCACCAACACCCCCTCCTCCTTCATCCACTCCCGCACCTCCAGTTTAATTTCCTGTCGCGGGTCGGGGGTTTTGGAGGGAGAGGTGGGCGTGGCGGTGGTGGGAGAGCCAGCCACCCACATGGGCAGCGGCGTGGGCGGCGTGTTGGAGCCCCGGCCGCCCACGCACTTCGTTGTAGTGGCTATAGACTTCGGTACCACCTACAGCGGATACGCTTTCAGTTTCACCCGCGACCCCGACAGTGTCCACATGATGAAGAAGTGGGAAGGTAAGTACACACGACAGTGCCAGTCTGTTGTGACACTCAAGACAGTGCCAGTCTGTTGTGACACTCACCACAGTGCCAGTCTGTTGTGATACCACAGTGCCAGTAACTAACCATCTATTATACAAGCCTCGATTATACAAGTTCCTATTATACAGCATGCCTCTATTATGCAGCATGCCTCTATTATACAGCATGCCTCTATTATACAGCATGCCTCTATTATACAGCATGCCTCTATTATACAGCATGCCTCTATTATACAGCATGCCTCTATTATACAGCATGCCTCTATTATACAGCATGCCTCTAATATACAGCATGCCTCTATTATACAGCATGCCTCTATTATAGAGCATGCCTCTATTATACAGCATGCCTCTATTATACAGCATGCATCTATTATACAGCATGCCTCTATTATACAGCATGCCTCTATTATACAGCATGCCTCTATTATACAGCATGCCTCTATTATACAGCATGCCTCTAATTTTACAGCATGCCTCTATTATACAGCATGCCTCTATTATACAGCATGCCTCTATTATACAGCATGCCTCTATTATACAGCATGCCTCTATTATACAGCATGCCTCTATTATACAGCATGCCTCTATTATACAGCATGCCTCCATTATACAGCATGCCTCCATTATACAGCATGCCTCCATTATACAGCATGCCTCTATTATACAGCATGCCTCTATTATACAGCATGCCTCTATTATACAGCATGCCTCTATTATACAGCATGCCTCTTTTTATACAGCATGCCTCTATTATACAGCATGCCTCTATTATACAGCATGCCTCTATTATACAGCATGCCTCTATTATACAGCATGCCTCTATTATACAGCATGCCTCTATTATACAGCATGCCTCTATTATACAGCATGCCTCTATTATACAGCATGCCTCTATTATACAGCATGCCTCCATTATACAGCATGCCTCTATTATTTCAGCATGCCTCTATTATACAGCATGCCTCATTATACAGCATGCCTCTATTATACAGCATGCCTCTATTATACAGCATGCCTCTATTATACAGCATGCCTCTATTATACAGCATGCCTCTATTATACAGCATGCCTCTATTATACAGCATGCCTCTATTATACAGCATGCCTCTATTATACAGCATGCCTCTATTATACAGCATGCCTCTATTATACAAGATGATCACTAATACATGATAATCATAGCGCACAACGAACACCTGTCGCTTTATAAAGACAAACAATATATTGGCTATAAACAGAGTTTGATTAAGATTTTGTAGGGACCCTGGGTACGGGTACTGTGAGTACCCTGGGTACGGGTACTGTGAGTACCCTGGGTACGGTTACTGTGAGTACCCTGGGTACGGGTACTGTGAGGGCCCTGGGCTACGGTTACTGTGAGTACCCTGGGCTACGGTTACTGTGAGTACCCTGGGCTACGGTTACTGTGAGTACCCTGGGCTACGGTTACTGTGAGTACCCTGGGCTACGGGTACTGTGAGTACCCTGGGCTACGGTTACTGTGAGTACCCTGAGCTACGGTTACTGTGAGTACCCTGGGCTACGGTTACTGTGAGGGCCCTGGGCTACGGTTACTGTGAGTACCCTGGGCTACGGTTACTGTGAGTACCCTGGGCTACGGTTACTGTGAGTACCCTGGGCTACGGTTACTGTGAGTACCCTGGGCTATGGTTACTGTGAGTTACCCTGGGCTAAAGGGTACTGTGAGTACCCTGGCTACGGTTACTATGAGTACCCTGGGCTACGGTTACTATGAGTACCCTGGGCTACGGTTACTATGAGTACCCTGGGCTACGGGTACTGTGAGTACCCTGGGCTACGGTTACTGTACCCTGGGCTACGGTTACTATGAGTACCCTGGGCTACGGTTACTATGAGTACCCTGGGCTACGGTTACTATGAGCACCCTGGGCTACGGGTACTGTGAGTACCCTGGGCTACGGTTACTGTACCCTGGGCTACGGTTACTGTGAGTACCCTGGGCAACGGTTACTGTGAGTACCCTGGGCAACGGTTACTGTGAGTACCCTGGGCTACGGTTACTGTGAGTACCCTGGGCTACGGTTACTGTGAGTACCCTGGGCTACGGTTACTGTGAGTATCCTGGGCTACGGTTACTGTGAGTACCCTGGGCTACGGGTACTGTGAGTACCCTGGGCTACGGTTACTGTGAGTACCCTGGGCTACGGTTACTGTGAGTACCCTGGGCTACGGTTACTGTGAGTACCCTGGGCTACGGTTACTGTGAGTACCCTGGGCTACGGTTTTCTGTGAGTACCCTGGGCTACGGGTCTGTGAGTACCCTGGGGCTACGGTTACTGTGAGTACCCTGGGCATACGGTTACTGTGAGTACCCTGGGCTACGGTTACTGTGAGTACCCTGGGCTACGGTTACTGTGAGTACCCCGGGCTATGGTTATGTGAGTACCCTGGGCTACGGGTACTGTGAGTACCCTGGGCTACGGTTACTATGAGTACCCTGGGCTACGGTTACTATGAGTACCCTGGGCTACGGTTACTATGAGTACCCTGGGCTACGGGTACTGTGAGTACCCTGGGCTACGGTTACTGTACCCTGGGCTACGGTTACTATGAGTACCCTGGGCTACGGTTACTATGAGTACCCTGGGCTAAAGGTTACTATGAGCACCCTGGGCTACGGGTACTGTGAGTACCCTGGGCTACGGTTACTGTACCCTGGGCTACGGTTACTGTGAGTACCCTGGGCAACGGTTACTGTGAGTACCCTGGGCAACGGTTACTGTGAGTACCCTGGGCTACGGTTACTGTGAGTACCCTGGCTACGGTTACTGTGAGTACCCTGGGCTACGGTTACTGTGAGTACCCTGGGCTACGGTTACTGTGAGTACCCTGGGCTACGGTTACTGTGAGTACCCTGGGCTACGGTTACTGTGAGTACCCTGGGCTACGGGTACTGTGAGTACCCTGGGCTACGGTTACTGTGAGTACCCTGGGCTACGGTTACTGTGAGTACCCTGGGCTACGGTTACTGTGAGTACCCTGGGCTACGGTTACTGTGAGTACCCTGGGCTATGGTTACTGTGAGTACCCTGGGCTACGGGTACTGTGAGTACCCTGGGCTACGGTTACTATGAGTACCCTGGGCTACGGTTACTATGAGTACCCTGGGCTACGGTTACTATGAGTACCCTGGGCTACGGGTACTGTGAGTACCCTGGGCTACGGTTACTGTACCCTGGGCTACGGTTACTATGAGTACCCTAGGCTACGGTTACTATGAGTACCCTGGGCTACGGTTACTATGAGCACCCTGGGCTACGGGTACTGTGAGTACCCTGGGCTACGGTTACTGTACCCTGGGCTACGGTTACTGTGAGTACCCTGGGCAACGGTTACTGTGAGTACCCTGGGCAAACGGTTACTGTGAGTCCCTGGGCTTACGGTTACTGTGAGTACCCTGGGCTACGGTTACTGTGAGTACCCTGGGCTACGGTTACTGTGAGTACCCTGGGCTACGGTTACTGTGAGTACCCTGGGCTACGGGTACTGTGAGTACCCTGGGCTACGGTTACTGTGAGTACCCTGGGCTACGGTTACTGTGAGTACCCTGGGCTACGGTTACTGTGAGTACCCTGGGCTACGGTTACTGTGAGTACCCTGGGCTACGGTTACTGTGAGTACCCTGGGCTACGGGTACTGTGAGTACCCTTGGCTACGGTTACTGTGAGTACCCTGGGCTACGGTTACTGTGAGTACCCTGGGCTACGGTTTACTGTGAGTACCCTGGGCTACGGTTACTGTGAGTACCCTGGGCTATGGTTACTGTGAGTACCCTGGGCTACGGGTACTGTGAGTACCCTGGGCTACGGTTACTATGAGTACCCTGGGCTACGGTTACTATGAGTACCCTGGGCTACGGTTACTATGAGTACCCTGGGCTACGGGTACTGTGAGTACCCTGGGCTACGGTTACTGTACCCTGGGCTACGGTTACTATGAGTAAACCCTGGGCTACGGTTACTATGAGTACCCTGGGCTACGGTTACTATGAGTACCCTGGGCTACGGGTACTGTGAGTACCCTGGGCTACGGTTACTGTACCCTGGGCTACGGTTACTGTGAGTACCCTGGGCAACGGTTACTGTGAGTAACCTGGGCAACGGTTACTGTGAGTACCCTGGGCTACGGTTACTGTGAGTACCCTGGGCTACGGTTACTGTGAGTACCCTGGGCTACGGTTACCGTGAGTACCCTGGGCTACGGTTACTGTGAGTACCCTGGGCTACGGGTACTGTGAGTACCCTGGGCTACGGTTACTGTGAGTACCCTGGGCTACGGTTACTGTGAGTACCCTGGGCTACGGTTACTGTGAGTACCCTGGGCTACGGTTACTGTACCCTGGGCTACGGTTACTGTGAGTACCCTGGGCTACGGTTACTGTGAGTACCCTGGGCTACGGTTTTCTGTGAGTACCCTGGGCTACGGTTACTGTGAGTACCCTGGGCTACGGTTACTGTGAGTACCCTGGGCTACGGTTACTGTAAGTACCCTGGGCTACGGTTACTGTGAGTACCCTGGGCTACGGTTACTGTGAGTACCCTGGGCTACGGTTACTGTGAGTACCCTGGGCTACGGTTACTGTGAGTACCCTGGGCTACGGTTACTGTGAGTACCCTGGGCTACGGTTACTGTGAGTACCCTGGGCTACGGTTACTGTGAGTACCCTGGGCTACGGTTACTGTGAGTACCCAGGGCTACGGTTACTGTGAGTACCCTGGGCAACGGTTACTGTGAGTACCCTGGGCTACGGTTACTGTGAGTACCCTGGGCTACGGTTACTGTGAGTACCCTGGGCTACGGTTACTGTGAGTACCCTGGGCTACGGTTACTGTGAGTACCCTGGGCTACGGTTACTGTGAGTACCCTGGGCTACGGGTACTGTGAGTACCCTGGGCTACGGTTACTGTAAGTACCCTGGGCTACGGTTAC